TTCTAAAATTTTAAATACAGCTAGAGTTAAATTTTTAACTGGATGGTGACTTTGGGGACAGGAGGCATCTCTGCAACTTGTTGCTCTCTTCTGAGAGTTATTTGTGAGTCTCTGGATGATGGCCATTCATGAACTTATATGGCTTCAGACAGTTCATGGCCATGATTGCCAGGCTCCTGGAAGAACAGGGAGATGGGGGAGGTCACCCATTCCCGACTCCGTAAGAGCCTGGAGATTTTGGTCACAAAACCTGCATACCTGTATTTTTCAGCAGATTTATTCTCATGCATAAGGCTGGTCCTGAGTGAGTTGAGATTGGCCATGAGCATGGCGGCGACTGTGTTCTGAAGGTTTTCAGTTGCCCAGGCTCTCTTGGGGTGGGTGCACCCACCCCCACTCTGGGGCACCCGGATGAAACTCAGCCTGGCGTGGGGTCTGGAGGCATCTCTACAGCTTGCTGCTCTCTTCTGAGATTTATTTGTCAGTCTCACTCCAGGCCCTTAACTGGTTTACATACAGATCTATAATTAATAAATGAGTTGCCTCTTTTGTCTAATTAGTGTATATATTTAGCATGGGCTGGAGCGATAGCACAACGGGTAGGGTGTTTGCCTTGCATATGGCCAACCTGGCTGACCCAGGTTCAAATTCCTCTGCCCCTCTCAGAGAGCCTGGCAAGCTACTGAGAGTATCTCGCCCGCTATGGCAAAGCCTGGCAAGGTACCCATGTCATATTTGATATGCCTAACAGTAACAAGTGTCACAATGGAGACGTTACTGGGCTCGCTCAAGCAAATCGATGAACAATGGGAGAACAGTGACATTGATATGTTTAGCATAAATAAAATTATTATACTCCCTTGGTTCTAGGAGAAATAAAATACACAAATAAAATTATATAAACAAACACTGTCCTCCTGTTGTTCATCGATTTGCTCAAACGGACCCAGTAACGTCTCCATTTTGAGACTTCTTGTTACTGTGTTTGGCATATCGAATACGTCAGGGGTAGCTTGCCAGGCTTTGCCGTGAGGGTGAGATACTCTCGGTAGCTTGCCGAGCTCTCTGAGAGGGGCAGAGGAATCGAACCCAGCTAGGCCAGGCTAGCTGTGCACAAGGCAAATGCCCTACTGCTGTGCTATTGCTCCAGCCTAAAGTCAACCTCCAGCAAACTATAAAAAAATTATATAAATAATATTAAAATGTTTACAGAGAATAATAGTTTCAGGATTAACCAAAATATTAAAAAAAACATTAAATTAAAAAAGCAAGATTTTTGTCTTAAAAATTGACCTATTATTTTATATAAAGTGAGTGACATTTTTATCTGAAGCCTTTATTCTGGCCTCTGAACAAAATTCATGCCTTTCATTAACACTCATAAATCATGAATCAACCATCTTAACAAGCCCAACCTAAAACAAAGTCAGCTTCCTTGCCTTGAGACAAATTAACATATTTCTACCCCTACTGTAGCTAACATTTAATATACATTACTTTCATCAGAAATGGAAAATCTGGGGCCAGACTGATGGTACAGCAGGGAGGGTGCTTGCCTTGCAAACTGCTGACCCAGGATTCAATCTCCCAGCACCCCATAGGGTTCCCCAAGCCCTGCCAAGAGTGACCACTGAGTGCAGAGCCAGGGGTAAGCCCCACACACTGCAGGTATGGCCCAAAAACCCAGTCAATAAATAATTTGTAAAACTAGACTATTGTAGAGCATGGCTCTGGGCACTGGAGCAGATAAGACCTGACCTTGCAAAGCGGTCCTGAAGCGAGGGCCTGAGGAAGGGATTATCTGGGCAAAGTTGGCAAGAACACGGTGTCAGCCCCGGTGTTCAGCCTTGAACCTCACTCAACCTCCTAGTCACATGCGCCCAAGAGACAGAAACTATTACGTACGCTTAGCAGGTCATCCTCACTGCAGCATCTAGCCTTGATTGGGATTGGACCAGGGCAAAGCAGAGTAGGAGAGCCGATAGGCCAATTATGCTAAACTTGATGTGATTGGGCCTTCCTGTAAAGCCAAGACCCTCTATAAAATCTGTGTGTGTTTGGCAATAAGGTGAACAGCCGTCAGCTGCTCCCAGAGGGTGTTTCTCCTCGTGCCCATCATCCTTCGCCCCATGTTTGCCTGGAACGAGCGCGCAATGTGTCCGTGTATGTTGGGGGAAAACTTCCCCAACAGACTACGAATTTACTTTTGTGTTAGCTCATGCAACAAACTGAACATTTAATTAATGATAAAAAAAAAAACCTCCTCTATAAGTAGATACCTCCTCACTCCAAAGTTGCAAGCCTGCTTTTCTGCCAGGGCAACACACATGCTGTCTAGAGGTTCTCTGAACCCCATGGGTACCAAAGCCAATCACTGTTACTGATATCTCCACCCACCTGGTCAACAAGTGTCAAATCCAGACTCACTGTAGACCCCCTTAATCCTCCATCACCTGCCTCTGACTCAGTGCCAGGCACATTTGCTTTCCTGCATTCGCCAAGTCTCTCTTCTTTGCTCCACTGTAGAATTCTTCTTTAGAACTTGTGTTTATATAAGTCCTTGCTCTAAAGCCTAAAACACTCTCTCTGTTTCCTAAGGAATAGCCTACACTCCTCACAACAGCACGAGGCTTTCCCCAAGTGGGCCTCGCGTGTGGCTGGGTCTGATCATACAAGGCGTAACTCACGGAGATGTCTGAGTGACGATGCAGGTGGGTCAAGAGAAGCATCACTGATCTCAGCTCCTTAGAGCCCATCATTCCTTGCAGGGGCACTGGGCTGCCCAGGGTTCAGTGAGAGGCTGGAGCCAGGAGGAAATGGACTTCCTTGTGGTTTCTGTGGGAGTGTCCAGAGGAGGCACACCATACACATCTGCGGCTGGTCGGGATGGCATGAGGGGTTCTGGGCTACCAAGAGTCTGTCTCGCATGGGTCCCTGGGGTGATCAGGTGCAGAGAACAATGGCTTGGAGTGAGTTTCATTAAGGATGAGGTGGGGGGATACAGGCTTTGGATTAGTCATCTGGTATCCAGAAAGCGTCTTTAGTCAATGGATCTATGACTCTAGGAGTTCCTCCACTCTGGGAGGGGCAGTTCCTGGCAGGAGCCCCCAACACGTCAAAGCACCAATACAGAAAATAAAATCATGACTAATTCACATGCCCCTCTGCAGGCATCCTTAGCCCTAGCTATCTAGTTACAGCACGCCCTTTTATATAAAGTCAGCTCAGGAGAGAGGCAGCTCCAAATCTCATATCAAGCGACCGAGATCCCCTCCCTCGCCCGTGCCTTCCAGACCAGGGACAGCATCAGGCACCTCACCTCTAATGACTGTGGTGGCCATTGTGGCTCAAACTTGGACGTGGCTTAATGAGCACCAATTGCAGTGCCAGTGCCAATTCCATGCAGGGAAGCCAAGGCCACAAAAGACTGATGGAGGAGGTGATGTGATGTTGGTACGGAAGTATGTTGAAGACTTTCAATACTTGGCTCTGCGCTCAGGGGGCCTAGTTAGAACCCTGGCGAGCAGTGTGCTTTATCCTCTACATCCTCCTAGCCCCAATCAAGAGTCTTGCAATAAATGCAGGGTTCCAGAACCTCCCCCCTGCAGTCATTTCAGCCTCCTCTAAAACACTAAAAACATCAACTGTCTGAGGTAGTGCTGGAGTTTCTTTGGGTTCCCTTTTAATATCTTCTGTCATTTTCTAACTTTGTTTTGCTGTGATTTGGGGTGACACCCAGCAGTGCTCAGGGCTTACTCCTGGCTCTGCACTCAGGGATCAGTTCTGGCGGTCTGGGGGACCATATGGGATGCTGAGTATTGAGCCCGTGTCACCTGTGTACAAGGTAATCAACCGACCTGCTGTACTATTGCTCTGGCACCACACCTTATTTTGTTTTTTTTTAAGATTTAAAGAGATCCGTGGAGTTGGAGCGATAGCACAGCGGGTAGGGTGTTTGCCTTGCACACGGCCAACCCGGGTTTGATTCCAGCATCTCATATGGTCCCCTGAGCACCGCCAGGGGTGATTCCTGAGTGCAGAGCCAGGAGTAACCCCTGTGCATCGCCGGATGTGACCCAAAAACCAAAAAAAAAAAAAAATTAAAAGAGATCCCATCACGCTTGATCAGAAGGATGTCATAACAGTGCTCTTTTTCTCCCCAGTCCCAAATATATAAACATTAAAAAAAAAATTGGGATGGGGGGGTCACACCTGGCAGTGCTCAAGGTTTACTCTGGGCTTTGCACTCAGGGATCATTCCTGGCAGGGCCTCAGGGAACCACATGGGGTATGGGAAGACAAATACAGACAACCTCGTCTGAGGCAAGTATCCTACCCATTGTACTGTCTCTCAGGCCCCCAAATATTTACAGCTTAACATAAACTTGTAAAGAATCCCATAAAGAAAGTCCAGAGGAGAAACATTCCGCGCTTCAAGGGGGCATTTCCAGTGTCTTTCACCAGTTACTGGCAAATCATTATATATGGACTCAGGGATCACTCCTGTCTGGACCCAGGGGACTTGGTTAGAACCCTGGTCAGCCCAGGTGTGCAAGGCAAGCACCTGATCTGCTGTATCTCTCCAGGTACCTGGCCCTGGCGGGTAAACAAACAAACACAACAGAAAAACTCCATACTTGGTTTTCTTTTTGGCCCCAAAACTAAAAAATTAAAGTAAAAAATAAGGGGCTGGAATAATATCGGGTAGAGCTCTTGCTTTGCACACAGCTGATCCGGGTTCTATCCCTGTCATCAGATGTGGTCCCCCAAGCCCCCAGGAGTGATGCTTGAGAGCTTGAGCACCACTGGGTTGCAGCCCAAGAGAATAATAAATAAATAATAAGAATGATGATGAGGATGATACATACTGATGATAATAATAATAATAATAGCAACAACAAAACAACAATAATAAAAATAAACAACATTAAAAGGGACCCAAACAGCTCCCAGGCCGCCTGGGCGCGGGGCCGATCCCGCGGCTATCGATTGCTTTCGCCTGCCCGCGCCGTCGGGATCGGCTGCTCGGGTCTGGCCCGGCCCCGAGCGCGGGAAAAGCGTTTGCAACACGGCTGGGCTCGGGTTGCGGCGGGCGCCGCGACCATGTCCTCCGAGTCTTATTTCCGCGTGGAGTCGGGGGCGCTGGGCCCCGAGGAGAACTTCCTGTCCCTGGACGACATCCTCATGTCCCAGGAGAAGCTCCCGGTGCGCACGGAGACGTCCATCCCCCGCCTGGGCGCCTTCTTCCGGGAGCGGAGCGGCGGCGCCGACGCCGACCCCGACCCCGACCAGGCCATCCCGCAGGCGAGTCGTCAGGCGCGGAACCCCCTCGGCGGGCCCCGGCCGGGGGCGCCGCGCGCGCGGCCTTCTGGGACTTGTAGTTCGGCGGGCGAGGCCGGGGTCCGGGAGCACCGCGCGCGCAGGGCCGACCCCCCCGCCCTCCCCTAACCCCCACGCCCCGGCTGGCAGCCCGGCCCGGCCTTTCCGGGGTAGAGCTTTGCCCCTCTGGGTGTGTATAAGACTTCGCACACCCAGTCCCCCAGTTCCAGTGCCCCGCAGAAAGCCCCCTCTGCCTCGCCCACCTTCCCTTGGATACTTGGACCCTTGGACGGTCACTAGAGTGCATCCCCGGGGACCCCATGTGGTTCCCCCAGCATCACCAGGAGTGAGGCCCCCAGCTCTGCCACTTTCCAATAAACCCGAGTGCTTGTTCAATGGGCAGTGCTGGTGCTTCCTAAGTCCCCACTTTCTATCCTTGGCACCTCTGGGAGTCCCGGTACAGAGTCCGAGTAGCCGCCCCAAAACGGCCAGGTATGGCCAGAAGTAAAGAGCTGTTTGGTGCTTTAGAACTGTGTGATAAGGGAGTAAGGTTTATGGATGGGAACAGGGTTCTCGCACTTGATTCGCATGCAGTGCCCTACCTACCTGTTGTATGATTGTCCTGGTACCCGATTGTCAATATTCTTAACGGACACTTTTGTTTGCGAATATCAGTTATCTAAAAGATATGTTAATTTCCCCCCATGATTGTAGAGTTGTCTGAGTTCTTTGACTTCTGTCTAAACGGGGTTGTATTTTTCTGGTGGATATGCTGCCTCTTTATTATTGTCAGGTGTCTTTTATTTCTGGTAATGCCGCTTTCTTTGGCTTTCTATTTGCATGGCGTTTTTCTGCCTTTCTGTTTTCGACCTTTCTGTGCCTATTTCATGTGTCTCAAGCAGCATATAATTGAGATTTTATTCAGCGCTACTGTTTTTAGTTGTCCTGTTTGTTATTCCATTTAATATGTATTTTGCGTTTATTCTTATCTTCCTACTCTTTGGATCCTGTCCATTTCCTTTTTCTTTCCAGTCTTGATTTCTTTTGGATCTACCAATTTCCAATGATCTGTTCACCTTTATATCAGTTTATTACATATTTTTAAATATATGTGGTTGTACTTTGGTATTTTACACAGCCCTTTTTAAAAACTTTTGTTTTACCATTGGTTTGCAATACAACAGACTTTCCGGGGTATAGCTTTGTACCTCTGGGTGTATATAAGACTTTGCTCACTGGGCTTCAGCAATAGCACAGCGGGTAGGGCGTTTGCCTTGCACATGGCCAACCCGGGTTCGATTCCCAGCATCCCATATGGTCCCCTGAGCACCGCCGGGGGTGATTCCTGTGTGCAGAGCCTGGAGTAACCTCTGTGCCTCGCTGGGTGTGACCCAAAAAGAAAAAAAAAATTCACGCACCCAGTTCCCTACTTCCAGTTGTCCTCAGAAAGTCCCTTCTGCCTAGCCCACCTCCCCTCCCTCCTTCATCCCTTTCTTTCTGGAAGGCACCCTAGTTTTCACTGAGCCTGGAACTTAGTTTTGCTTTTATCCATTTGTTCGTGTACACACTCATTTTCATCCATAAGTGTTTCAGATGGTTCTCACCCTGGCAGAAGCCCAGAGCCCAGCCTGGCCTAGGCCCTCAGCATCCAGCCACTGGCACAGAGGTAGGGGAGTCCTGCCTTGCTCTCCCTGGGACAGTCCCCAGAATCCCACTTACCCGGCGTCTTCCTTACAACTTGTGCACTCTGGCATCCCAGAACTTGATGTGGCAGAGAAGAACGTGGGCTCTTACCCTCAGAAGTAGATTTCTGCCCAGCCAGGCTGGGGGCCCAGAGCAACTGGTGCGCCATCTTCCACCGCTCCTGTGTCTACCCTTGGCCGTTAAAGCCCTTAAAAGCAATCTCAGGGCCAGGAAGTTCGCTTAGGGGTCAGAGTAGACCCTGGTTCCATCCCTGGCATCGTAAGTTCCCCTGATTAAAGATGGCTGCATTAGGGGCCAAGTGACATACAGTGGGTGGGGCATTTGCCATATACTCAGATGATCCACTTCAATCCCTGACATCCCATATGGTCCCCCGAGCCCCTCCAGGAGTGATCCTGGAGTACACAGAGCCAGGAGTAAGCCCTGAGCACTGCTGGGTGTGACCCCAGAACAGAAAAATAATCCCCCAAACAGATGATTGCATTAAGCAAAAAATTTTTAAATGTTAAAAGAAAATATAGGGGGAGCTGAAGAGATAGTACAACAGGTAGGGTGCTTGCCTTGCATGGGACCCACCTGGGTTCGACTCCCAGCATCCCGAGCCCCGCTAGGACTGATTCCTGAGTGCAAAACCAGCAGTATCCCCTGAGCACGGCTGAGTGTGACCCCAAAACAAAAGAAATAGGGATCGTGCTTATCTACAATTGGACAATTTTGTTGTTGTTGTTAGGAAACATTTTATTTTCTAAAGCTATTTTTTCTCTGCAACCTGGTAGGGTGTTCGCCTTACACGCGGCCAACATGGCCGACCCGAGTTCGATTCCTCCGCCCCTCTCTGAGAGCCCGGCAAGCTACCGAGAGTATTCGATATGCCAGACACAGTAACAACAAAGTCTCCAATGGAGACGTTACTGGGCCCGCTCGAGCAAATCGACGATCAACGGGAGGGCCTTTACCTTTACCTTTACCATTATGATAGTGAACTCCAGCCCACCTGGTCATAACGAGACCTTCCATCTGCCAGCCCCCCGCCCCATGACAACAGGCGGTCTTGCTAAGCAGACCTGTGTCCTTCCTGTCGCCCCCATTGACCTTGCGGTTTGTGTTTCAAATCCCCCTTCTCCACTGACGCAGGGCTCCAAGCTGGAACTCCCCTTGTGGCTGGCCAAAGGGCTTTTCGACAATAAGCGGCGCATCCTTTCCGTGGACCTTCCCAAGATCTACCAGGAGGGTTGGAGGACCGTGTTCAGCGCTGATGCCAACGTGGTGGACCTCCACAAACTGGGCCCGCATTTCTATGGCTTCGGCTCCCAGCTCCTGTATTTCGACAGCCCAGAGAACGGGGACATTTCCCGGTCTCTCCTGCAGGCAAGTCGGGGAGGTGGCACCGCCGAGTTCGGAAACCATCCAGCGATTGTTCTTACCCAGGGTACAGCCAGTTCATCGGCAGATCAGCCAGCGGGTCACCTGTGTTTAGCTGCACCTGTATTTCTGTCTCTCTGTCTGTCTGTCTGTGTGACTTGTTTTTTGCTGTTCCTCTTCTTTGCTTGCTAGGAGTTAGTTCCAGTGGGAAGTTGAAGAAAGGGTAGTGAGACCACAGGGGCAGGCATTGTGGTGCTCAGTCTCAGTTGGTCACAGAACTGGTCTCCGAACTGGTCTCCGGCTTCCTGTCAAAAATAAACATGTTGTTTAGTTGTCTCTTCCCTGCCCTCATGCAGGGGTTGAGTCCTGGCTCTGCCATTCGCCAGCTGTGTGACTTGGCTAAGCTGCGGGGCCTCTCTGGGCTGCAGTTCTTCTCATGCAAATGGAGATCATCACAATCAATGGAGGGAGTGCCGTCCAGGGAAGGATAGCTGTTATTTCTTACAGCAAAACTGTGTGAACATGACCGCTTTCATGGTATAATCTCATTCTGCCTTTTCTTATTTTTTTACTCTGAACTGAGAAGCTACCATTTGTGTTTATTGTTACACAAATATTGTTCCTCATTTCTGCCTTTATCAGAGCTGCTGGCTCTAAACTAACTTGGCCCTGGATGACATTGTACTCCCCCCAACCCTCCATGGGGGTCCAGGGTTGTTGGACCTCACGTGGCCTTGGGATGTTTTTTGTGTTGATAGGAACGAAAAGCTTAGCAACTTCCGGTTCAGACAAAGTCAGTTCAGACTTAGCAAACTCCTTTAAGCGGAAAGCTAAAAATAAGATCAGTCCACTTGTCTTCGGAGGTCTCCAGGATATGCTCTCGAATGGGAATACTGCCTTCCTAATGCATTGTGTTCTCTCTTTTCACGACTTTTTTGAGGTGCTGTTTACGTGAGTCACTTAAACCTGAGGTGACGTCAGCATGAGGCACTTAGAGACTCTGAAAGTGGGGCTTATGCGAGGCCTCAGAACTGTGGGGAAATGCACCCCTCATTCCCGGGCGTCTCGGTCCAGCTCTCAGACTGAAAGAAACAAGCCGCATTTGATGATAATAATAGCAAGAGTTCGCTGGTTAATAACTGCCCACCTGCAGCCCCAGTGCATTGCTGTGCTCTTCCGTGAAGGCTTTTGGGAGAGCCAGACCTGTGTTCGGGACCCAGAACAGAGTGTATCAGTGGGGGCTCACACAGCCCACCCAGCATGGGAGACTGAGGCCTGGCAAGAGAGCCCCCCTCCAACCACCATCAACACACACACACACACCTATTCCTGGCAGCCAGATTCATTTTCTTGGTGCTGTGTAAATGTTTGGGGATAAAAACATCTGATTTCGGCTGGAGAGATAGCACAGCGGGTAGGGCGTTTGTCTTGCATGCGGCCGACCCGGGTTCAATTCCCAGCATCCCATATGGTCCCCTGAGCACTGCCAGAAGTAACTCCTGAGTGCAGAACCAGGAGTAACCCCTGTGTATCGCCAGGTGTGACCCCAAAAGCATAAATAAATAAATAAATAAAAATAAAAACATCTGGTTTATCTACCTCTCCTTTTCCCGTAGACTTTCATCGGCCGCTTCCGCAGGATCATGGACTCCTCCCAGAACGCTTACAATGAGGACACGTCGGCGCTGGTGGCCCGGCTGGACGAGATGGAGCGGGCCTTGTTTCAGATCGGCCAGAAGGGGCTGAATGACTTCCAGTGCTGGGAGCGGGGCCAGGCCTCTCAGATCACAGCTTCCAGCCTGGTGCAGACCTACAAGAAGAGGAAATTCACCGACCTGGACCACTGAGGAGCAGGACTGCCCCGTGTGGCGCTGCCGTGGTGGGTGCCCGCCTGAGCTGGCCCTGGGGCCCTCACGCTGCCCCCCACCCCCACCCGTTTTCTTCTGCCGTCTTCAGAGCAGACTCATGTCTCGTTGGGGAGGGAGGGTCTGCAGGGTGGGCCAGGCCAGACTCCCCTGGCTCAGGCCTCCCAACCCTGAGACCCAGCGCTGAGGAGAAAGCAGTCTTTGTTGAATGCAACATCACTGATGCAGATACTGCAGCAAAGCCGGGGCCAGGGCTCCCTGAGCCCGGGACTCACTCGCACAGCCTGGGAGTGATGGCCGCATTCCCCCTCTCCAGAGCACAGCTGCACTCTGGGCCTCCTCCCTCCATCCATTATCTGCTCTGCCCGCAGCTGCTGCCTCTTCCTCAAGGCTGCAGCCAAGGGCAGCACCCCCCTGGGACTGAAGAAGCCTATGAGATGTTACCCCGGTTTCTTCACACAATCTCTGAATATGAGGAAGTCAGGAATGGAGACGGACAGAACGCCCAGGCCTGGTCTGCCCTGTAGAAAGCGCTGTGGCTCCTCTGTCATCAGCCACTTGTGAACTGGCTGTCCCAGCACTGTAGAGCCAGACCAGCTGGGGAGGGGTCCCGGCGGAGCTGGTTTGTGACTCTGAGCTCCAGAGAGTGAGCCCCCCCCCCACAGTTATTCCATCCCCTCCCGGGAGAGCTGCTCAGGGGTCACTGAGAATTGCAAAGTAGGCAATCACCTTGGCTACTTCTGGGTATCGGGACTGGAGAGTTGCAGCCCGGAAGAGTCCTGGCAAGTCTCTTTTTCTCGCTAGTGAGTTTTGGAAGGCCCCTGCAACCCGGCTCCGGGCCACTTCCCAGGGACGCGGGTGAGCATGCGCAGGGCATTCCTGATGCGGTGGAGTCGGAAACCTCAGGGCTGGGAGGCTCCAGCATCTCCGTGACCGGCCGCAGGGCAGCGTCCTCCGCGCCAGCTCCCTCCCAACTGCTCTTTGTGGCTGGAAGTTAAGAGTGGGATTCGGGCCTGGTGCAGATGGCCTGACGGAGCAAGTGCTTTTTAAGATGCCTGTTTTAAGATGGAATTGATACGTTGATAATTTGACGTCGGTGCTAAATAAATGGTCCATTTTTCGCTTGAATCCATTCTGAACAGTACAGTGCTATTTCTGTAGCTCATACTACAGATGACCAGGCAAAGCTGTTACAGAATTTCATCTTTGATCTACTTTGCTGTACAACACAAGTACATTTCTTTTAACAATTTTTGTTTGTTTGCATGATATTCATAAGCATTCTTGGTCAGAATGTGCAGTGCCCATTGTTCCTGTGGCATTTCCCTATCGCCAGGGCTTCTAGAAATAATTCACAGTGTGAGCAAAGCAAATTATTTAAACTTTAGGTTGATTTTTCTTTTTGTTTCTTTTTGGGTTGTACCCAGCGATGCCCAGGGGCCATTCTCAGCTCTGCACTCAGGAATCACTCCTGGTGGCGCTCGGGGGACCATATGGGATGCCAGGGAGCGAACCCAGGTTGGCCACGTGCAAGGCAAACATCCCATCCGCTGTGCTATGGCTCCAGCCCCTAGGCTGATTATTTTCACAGATAAGTTTGCATTTAAAGCTGATTCTAAGACAGCTGCCATTTTTTCCCTTTTATTAAAAGGATTTTTCAGGGGCACATGCCAGGAATTTGTGGGTATGCATGTTTTACATTTAAATGCTTGTTTTAATTTTTGAATAGATGATGTCACAAGTAGCCTCTGATATTTCCACGCCCAAATTTGCCTTCCAGCCTGGCAGTGACTACTAACCCTTTCTTAACGCAGTCTTTTCAGTTACTATTTGGCTCATTCAAAGAGGTAGTTTTGTTTTTTAAATAAGTCAACGAATTGAGAAAGTACTAAATTTATTTTCAAATCCAAGGAGGTCGTGGAGAGAGGCCTGTCCTTTTTTTCTTAATGGCTTATTCTCCGGCTATTGGCCTTAATTTTATACTAAAGTCATTTCTGCCTTGATTTCCCTCTCCCCTACTCCTTCCCCCCAGGGACGAACTGGGACAAGACTTGGTCACATGGGGTTAGTCTTTCTACTCTGACCTCTGAACTCTGGGTGGCCACAAGCTCAGTCCTCTTCCAGCTTTCTCACTCTCTAGGGAATTGCCTCTGGTCTCATTAAATACCATCTCTTTGAGTGACAAGCTCAGACCTCGCCCAGCCACTCAGTTCCACAGCCAAACACGGACTGGATATTTCCACTTCAGCATCTCCTGGTAGGATTAAAGAGAAGAGCTCCAGACATTGAAAAATGGGGCTGGACTAGCGATGACTCACAGTCTCTAAGGAAGGCTCTGGGGAATGTAAGAATTCCCTGAGCACTTCCTTTGGTCCTTTTGCCTTCAGAGCAACAGCAGAGCTCAAGACCTGGAACCGGATGGGGTTTAGGAGTTGTCACAAGTAGCCTCTGATACTTCCTTTGCTGACCTTTTGCCTTCAGAGCAACAGCAGAGCTCAAGACCTGGAACTGGATGGGTTTTAGGAGTTGGGATAGAGAAGGGACCACTAGGACAAAGATAGTTGGAAATGATCACTCTGGATACGAACTGCGTGCTGAAAGTAGGTAAAGGAACCAATGGGATAACCTTTCAGTATCTGTATTGCGAACCATAATGCCCAAAAGAGGGGTAGAGAGAGAGGAATCCTAGGAGAGCTGTTCATCTGAGGCAAACTTGGGGTCATGGGGTCTAAATGAAAATGTTCTTTTGCCCTGATTTTGGCAAAAAGAAAATAGCTGGGGCTGGAGTGATAGTGCAGCGGGTTGGGCGTTTGCCTTACATGCTGCCAACCCAGGTTCAATTCCCAGCATCCCATATGGTCCCCCGAGCACCACCAGGAGTAATTCCTGAGTGCATGAGCCAGGAATAACCCCTGTGCAATGCCGGGTGTGACCCAAAAAGAAAAAAAGAAAATAGCTGCAGAAGCTCTCCCCCCACCCCCTCCGTGTGTGTGTGTGTGTGTGTGTGTGCGTGTGTTTGCAAGTACCTATCTGTGCTCAAGAGAAAAACATACTCGGGATAGAGCCAGCTGCTTACCTAGGAGAAGTATACACTAAAGGACCCTAATTTCTTCTCTCCTTGTCTAGTTGACATAACTGGATGATTCAGTATTGGGTCCACATGGAGACATCTTTCCAAAGACCATTAAAAGACTGAGAAGCCTGTTGAGAATTCCGTTGTAACTTGATATTGTCATTTTGAAAGAGCCATAAATCTTCCATCCCAAATGAGCAGTGAACAGAATGTACAGTGACAGACCGGAGAGATGGTTCAAAGGGCTGGAGCCCCAGATTTGAACCCTAACAGCACATGGTCTCCCTAGCACCACCAGGAACAACCCCTGAGCATGGCTAGATGTGGCCCCCAAATAAAAGTAGAACGTGCAATGAATTAAGAGCAAGTCAGAGGTGAAGCCTCCATCCTGGAGAGCAAATGATTAACACAGGCGGGTCTGACCAGCTTTTGAGTTCGCTGTGTTGCTTTTCCCAAGCTTCCATATTTCTCTTTAGTCACGGAGGCCCAGGGCTAGAGGGCACACTTGCTGGCCAAGCAGCCCAGGGGAATTCTTCAGCCTGTTTACAGCTGGGCCACAGACCCACAGTTGCAAACCACTGGCTCTAGCCTCTGTCCTTGCTGGGTACGTCAGTCCTTCAGGGGGACATTTCAAATACAGCCCCTTAAGAGCCAGGGGTCCCCTTTCTGTATTTGCATTTTAGAGACCAGAATGAGTAGAATCAAGTCAGCTCAGGAGGCATTAAAATGTGTCTTTGGAGATAGTTTTTAATTTCACCAGCCGTCGTCAAGGTTGGGAAAGTGCAGCTTTCCCGAGCCACGTCTGTCCTCATGGTGCATTTCTTAAACATTTATTAACTAAGCCACAGGTTATTTATTAATAAGTTGTTTATTAACTAAACATTTTTTGTTATTTTGGGCCATATCCAGCGGTACTCGGGGCTTACTCCTGACTCTGCATTCAGGGGTCACTCCTGGCTGGCCCAGGGGGCCATTTGGGGGTGGTGGGGAGAAAACCCCGGTCAGCTGTGTGCAAGGGAAGAGCCCTCCCTGCTGCACTGTCATTCCAGCCCTGCTTAGTTCAGACTTCACCAGACTTTCCTCCAATGCCCTGTTCCTGCTCCAAAATTCTCCATAGCATTGGGAGAGGCAGTCATTTTTGAAATGACTCCTCCCTACCTTAACTTCCTCCTTCCGGTCCCATGGGGAGGGAGGCTGACTTTCCACTGGAAATGTTTCCCCCTTCCCCAGCATTTGCAGCTGATGGCAAAAGTCTGCTTTCACGTTCCTTCCAAACGAAAACCTTCGTTCTCTGACCAGAGCGAGTCCATCTTCTCCCGTTTCCCTTCAGGCATGAACTAGCTCCTCTCCTTGGTGCCTACACGCATTTCAAATGAGCCCGGCTTTATGCACTAACATTATTAACAAGTGCCTGCACAGCTCTGAAAATAGTGCCTGGGAACTGCCCGGGCTTCGGAAGCCATCAAGGGAACACACAGAACCAGCTCATCCCCAGAACCTCCCCCTCTGCAGAGCAGCTTTAAAACAAAAAACCAGGCCTCGAATCAGCTCCTGTATCGCCCTTGGGGGATGCAGGGGATCAGGACTGATTCCCGAAGGACGGTTTCTGGCAGACACTTGCCTCTCTGTGACTGCAGAGAAGCAAGAGTGTAGCTAAGGAACCGATTCCAGTGCTGCTGTGGAGAGGCTGGAGAAGGGGTGTGACTGGTGGGCGAAGAGGAGGGGGGTGCGTTTCCCTGGAAAACTGGGAAGGAAAGCTGGGTCGAGGGGCATCAGAGTCCTTGGGGTGCCCCAAGAGTGGCTTCAGCTTAACAGGAGCAGAAACGCTTGTCATTTGCCTCTCCAGCTTAGGAGCTGAGAACCTCTTCGGAAGATAAGTCTATAAAATAAAGCTCCCGGAAGAGAGCGATGCAGTATTTCCTGGAGCGCGTGGCCACGCAACCTCTTATACTCTAGTCCACGAATGAGCACACGTGTGTTTGGTTTTAACATACTTGCTTGTATTCTCTTACATACGGGCTTACATGGCGCCAGAATGAAATACAACGACCTTCACACACTTCTCTCTTATTGTGGTGGGAAGATGTTCGCTGATGGGGCGGGTGTTTGAATGTTATCTGTAATGAACTATTGTGAACTACTTTCTGAAAACAAAATGTATAAAAATCGTCACTGTCACTGTCACTGTCCTCCCATTGTTCATCGATTTGCTCGAGCAGGCCCAGTAACATCTCCATCGTGAGACTTGTTACTGTGTCTGGCACATCGAATACGTCACGGGGAGCTTGCCAGGCTCTGCCGTGCGGGCGAGATACTCTCGGTAGCTTGCCGGGCTCTCCGAGAGGGGCGGAGGAATCGAACTCGGGTCGGCCATGTTGGCTGCGTGCAAGGCAAACACCCTACCCACTGTGCTATTGCTCCAGCCCATAAAAACCGTAAAAATAAAAATAAAAAAGAAGATGAGTCTCCTCCCGCCTTAGCATTTCACATTCTCACGTTCCCCTTCCCCAGGTCTGATGGCAGCTG